CTATTAAATATCGTCTTTGCAGACTAGATGCTATCTTTTAGTCAAAGTCCTCAGTAGAAACAGGTGCATGTCTACACAGCCCCCCAAAAAAGAAGGGCAGTTTCTTCAGGATTTGGCTGATATAACACTAAACTTCAATTTGAGAAGGTTCCTAGGCAAAAACCTAGCATAGGACTTAAGCAACAGAAGCGCAACTGAGGGGGCATTCAGAGACTCACATTCAGAAGACATAGTCAAATAAAGCCCAAACCCTTCCTAACTTCCTTAGCATCTGAAATGGAGTAGCAACCAAATATGGAGGTTAATATTCCTGTAAGTAAATAAAATTCTAATATATGCTTGGCCTGATCATCTAGATCTCTTCCTTGTGTTTTATTTCTATGGGATCTTAAATAAAGTATTTGAAGAGTCTATCTTACTAGAAATACTCTGAATGCACCTAACTGCATCATACTACCAACATTTTGTATAACAGCCCTTTGATTAGAGAGCTCATACAATAAATTAGAAATATGAGTCAAATGAGAAATCTGAGCTTTATTCTTAGATTAGGCAGGAAGGAAATTGTATCTCCTTTTCTGAGGGAGATATTACAAAATGTGGTTCAAGACAGCCTTCTCTCAGTTTTTCAGGCTATATAGCTTCAACTGGTATAGCAAAGTTACAAAGATACCGGTGTTTCAGTAACTTTCAGCACAAGATATAATCCCTGAATTCAGAAGTAGTTTCTGGTGTTGATCAGACACAGCCCTGGGACCAACAAATCTCATCAAATCACAACAGAGACTCAGTCCAGAGGAACTTGATAAACTTGGGAACCAGGCCAACAGAAACTGCAGGAGATTCAAGAAGAAAAAGTGCAAAGTTCTGCATGTAGGGCAGAATAATCTCATGGAATATTAGAGGCTGGGAAGAGACTGGCTAAAAAACAACCTTGTGGAAAAGATTTCCATCATAGTCTTTACGGAGAAGAACCTTCTACGCACCGGATGAGACAGGCCACCTTACCTGTCTTTTGTACATGCAATGGGGCTTTACAGTTACAAAACATGGCTTTAGCTTCTCAGCCAGGCTGGGCAAGACTCAGTACAGAACATCATTGTCTTGTGCCTGTATTTTATGCTTTGTACTTCATAGGCACGTCTTCAGGTACTGTTTAAGGTTTTTTTGTCACTAAGTGGAATATCTGCAGTAGAAGTCAGCAAGCAAAATTTCTCCCAAATCCCACTCCCATCATCTAGTTCTTGAAATCTTCTAAGAGCTTGTGAGACAAGAGATGTAAATCTTTAAGTGCACAGAGAAAATGCATATACTCAGTACACTTATGTGTATGCAGGTGAATGTCTCTTGGTTCCTCCCTCTGGGCATATTTCATTTTGCATGGGATACATATTTATTCAGCAAGCAAGTAAGAATGACCCTCTCAGCCTAATGATTTTCATTTGTGAGATGAAAAGCTGTAGTTCTTTCTGCTCTCTCAAAAGGCATTCCAACAAAAGATGAACATCCTTAGGAGGAGAGCCTGAGAGCACGCTTAAAAATAGGCTAAAGCACAACAAAGACACAGTTTTGGGGGAAAGGAGGGAAATAAAACCCGCTACCCAGAAAAGGGACTGAATCTTATCTCTCCCGCACCTGAATGTATTCCTTCCATTGTGGACTGCTGCATCAGAGAACGACACCACCCACTGCTTCTGGCCCATTTGCAAATGTAACCTAAACATGCAGAAACTTTTTCTGAAATTCAGACGATGTAGTTCACATTTTTTCAGTCAACTCTAACTGCATTTCACTAACAAATGCCACAGCCTGCTTCTTGAACAGCCTTATTTTACATGGGAAACAAGTGGAGCCATCATGCTTAGCAACCCCAGGAACAGGGATGCAAAAGGAAGGCAATTTCTGTGCCTCTCTGTGAAAGCTACGTAGTAAAGATTACCAATCTCATTCAACACATAATGTATAAATGTGCCAGCACTCAGATTCACAAGCAGCAGTATTTAGCACTCTAGCTAATATCCTAAACTGGCAGGGAAGGGGTTAAAATGGGCCCAGGACAGATATTCCTCCTTCACCCATACTAGTGGTATCTCTGGGTCAGAGATGATCTATTCTTGCAAAATACCAACGGTTCCCTCTGTTATTTCTCTCTATGTCTGTCTTTAGGGTATGGAGATTATTTTTACCTCAGAGGGTATCAGTCATTACAGTCACACAGTACATTCATCTAAATATTTCTGGAGAAGAAAAGCATACTTCCATTTATAACACTTTACCAATATACCTAGGGCTTTCAAACCAGTATATTATCAAAACACACACATTTACTATTTGTTCTCTTAGCTAACTCACTGAATGAAGGCAACACTTTTTTTTTTTTTCCTTTTTCCTTGCTGGATGTCGCCTAGCAATATATTACACTGACTTTGAACAAATCTGTAATAGTAAATATTATGGTTTCATCTAACATTTCAACTATGAAAATAAACTGCATAAAATGGAGTTCACATAAAAGATACCAGGGTCAAAGACCATTGGAGTAGGCATTCTGCATCCATTACAATACACTACCCATAGGCAGTGATTATTTATTGGAATATGTTATGAGTCATGGCAATTCATAACACTACGGTCTCTGGAAAATTCCATTTTCCACTCTGAGCCAACATTAGGCTTACAGTACATACATTTTGATTAACTGAGACACAAATGTATCCCAGCAGTTACAGGAGAGTTGTTTCCTATCTTTCCTAAAATTGAGAGATACTTATTATTTCCAGGAAAATAAATAAGGTCATGTGGAATGAAGCATTTACAATTCTTGGCAGGGCAGTTAAAATGAATAAGACTGTACATGAAAGCTTGTTTGACTGTCTATTTAGTTTCATTTTAAAGATTTTAGTCTTATCATTCTTGATTTATGCACAACATGTACTGCCACTTGCTGGTCTGTTCTATAAATACCTTCATAATTTGAATTAAGATAATGCATTATCTGTATTTGGTAGATGTATTACAGTTTTGTACTCACTTAAAGTTCCACCAAACCATAAAGCGTTTTTGCATTTTAGATTTAGCTAAAAATATTCCCCCATTAAAATAGCAATCATCATTAAAATTAGTTCCCTGATTCTACTGATTAATTTTTCAGTAACAAGCAAGGTTTCCAAAAAGTTACAGTTAAACATATTTTTAGACAAAACCTCACAATTTTTTAAGAGTCTAGAGAAGCAATTACATGGCATAAAAATCTGCAGGACACAATTAGAGGGAAGAGGAAGTAATTTGAAATTAAAATATATCTTAATATATACATAGTCATAAGAATATTGCCAGAGGCAACACAGTGGTGTTGCTAAAAAAGTTTTAAATGAGTAGATTTGACACCTTTCCACTTCTCTCCAGACAAATGTGAATCCTTCTATAAAGGCAGCAGATTGTTTATTTCTGCATGTATAGTTTCTGGTTAATGAGGTTTCAAACCTTTAATCTTCTATCACCTCTGTAGTCCCACTAAGACAAATGCTAGTACTAGGCTTATGAGATGCCAGATCGGGATTTGTAATTACATTCTGGTAAATGGACATTTTTAGCCACATGAGTAATTTGAATCTTGTGCTCAGTTTTGGCTGTTGCAAAAGGGGAGGGGAATAACCTGTTCTCCATATCTGTGAGACATAGAACAAAAAGTGATGGAGTCAAGTTGCAGTGAGAGGTATAGCTTATGTCTATTAGGAAATGTTGAATCACTGGCACAGACTGCTCAGAGAATTTGTGGAAATGCCATCACTGGAGATCTTTAAGATAAGTTAGGCAGTAAAAGGTCATAGCTTGATGCCTTTATTCAGTCGATCTAAGTATCACATAAATGTTCTGAAAAGCATTTAAGAGCTGTGTAATGTGTTTTCACATAAAGCCGTAGTGCACCTTGTATGTTTCTCCCGTATTCACCTTCATTTACAATCAGAAAGAGCTGAGATTTGAGTCTTCATTTATTATTTTTATTTTTACTGTTTTCTTTAATTTGATTACTTGAGTCTATGAGGAGGGCTTGGGTATTTTCAAATTTTTTTGTGGAACATTTCTCATGTCCTGTGGTCCATCAGTTGGTAGCCACTGGAGTAGAAAACCTCTTGAAGGTCTCTGTCCTCGTTTGCCACAAATAACTTGTAAAAGATGACCTTTCCACTTACCTTTTAAACTATGTTTAAAACTCAACTGCAAAAATAAAAAATCTAATTTTAAGTCTGAAGACAAGCCAATGACTATAACTGCCAAGTACTGTCATAGTTTAGGAAATATAAACATAGGTACAACCCCTTAAACTTTGGCACATTCCAGAACATTTTTAACTGTAAGCTGATACTCAAAGAAATCCATAATGGCATATATTTTTAAATTTAGGTCTGCCATCACCCTTAGATGATGGGGGCAGGGGGAAACCCTGCACAGGCCAACAGATTATTTTTTTTTTAATACAAAAGGACATGATGTCTCTTTAAGTGGAAATGAAACCCACTGCCTTCTCTTAAATAACCCATGTACCAGCCAAGAATTTCTTCTGGTTATCACCTTTTTAACTTCGTTTATGACTTTACTGCTCATGAACATTGGACATCTTACAGTAAACTCTGATTTCCAGCAGCAGAACAAATAAAAAAGAAAACAAGCTGCAAACACCACTAAAAGCATAATGGGGCCTGAGAACATGTGTTTGTTGACAAGACAGAGTTTGTGAGTCAAGCAATTAAATATTGTTCAGCTGACAGTAACTGCAGATACAGTCATAAAATATTAGTGATGGACTTAAATTGCAAATAATAGCAGGCTACAAGCTGTCACAGATGACCACTGGATAGTAATCACCCCTGAAATACCATCTCTGAGCCTTTTAAATAAAGAGCAGTGGTAGATTTTTTGAAAGGGTGGGGGAAAGAGGAGCTTGTAACAGACTGTTTTGGTGTGTCAGGGCAAGACAGAAATAATTAAGTCAGACCTACCTGTCTGCGCTGTACAAGGAGTGCATTGTGCAGAACTCACAACTCCCGCTTTGCCCTTCTGAATGTTGCAGGAATAAACAGGAATGACTTAAACTCTAAGAAACAGCTCCAAAGGCTTCTGAAGTCAGCAGACTCATAATCAGTTCCTTGGCTCAGGTCCTTTGTGTGCATTGCACCCACTCAGTAAAGGCTGCCCTGAACCTTCAGAATAAGCCAAACACAGGGGCCTGGTCAATAACTGCCTCAGCTCCCAGCACACTGGATAACAAACTTTAGCTGCTTTTTGGTTCCATATTTTGCAACGAGGACAAGCGTACAATAAACATATAAGCACTTCTGGCTCCATCCTTTTGCTACCCAGCATAGGGAGAAGGGCTTGTTCATTCCTCAAGCTTTGTTGTTCCCCCATCAATGTTCCCTTGATCCACATCCTCATATTTAGCAGATAAAGGAGATCAATACAGCCGAAACATTTTTTTAGCTCATCAATCAAGAAGATGGAAGGGTCTCATGGGCTACCTCGCTGCTTTAATTTATGGAAAAGAAAACAAAATTCCCCCTCCCTCTGTAAGAGAAGGAGCTCTGTTCTGCTCATAGCTTGCTGTCATCATGTTTCTATGCAGGGAAGTCAAAGCCAACTTTACTCTCTCCTGTGTGGCCATGCATGGTGAGGTCTTATTTTTAATATGATTCAAGTAGGTTCTGAATTGAGATATTCACCCAAAAATTCCTGGTAAAGTCTCACTTCTGACTCAGAGCAGTTAGTACATACTCCTAGCCATTTGAATAAGAAAAAAGTCTGTATCCATTCCATCAGACTTCAGCCATGTAAAAAATAACATGACTGGTTTGGACAAGTGCTTGTATTCTCACTGCAGCTGAAGGAAAAGAGCAGAGTGGTTTTTTCCCCCAGTTATATAATACCCACTTCGGTACTAGATAAATCACTTTCTAGAGGCGTCTGCTTCTCTCCAAAAACAATATGGGCTTCTGGAGGACAAGGTTGGAGGAGGGATCCTACATTTTAGATGGTGCAAGTTAAGTCAAATGAATTCCGCCAACAGGCTGCTGCTGCTATAAATCACAGCATGCTTGTGCCTGGTCCCGTACCGACACAGCCCTCTGAAAGCAGCTGTAAGAAGTGACAGCTGCCTGGCAAGATATTAGACTTAAATGTGAGCAGATAAGAAGTGAGATGCAGTGATTTTGGAATTGGAAGAAAAAAGAGGAAAATATGAACCATCCATTTTATACAGTTTATTATATTTTTTATGGTTCAAAGCAACATTTGTGTGATTCCCCCACATAGGGTAAATGTCAAATAGGTTGTCTCAAGGTGCTTTTCAGACATGCAGCAAAAATGTTCTAGTATTCATCTGAAATGCAATACTGTCCCTTTATTTTATTACTTCCCCAAAAAAGAAAAAAGAGAAACTTTCTTGCAATACTTTATTTTTTTCCAAGCATCAAAAATAAGGAAAAAAATGTTATTTCAGTAAGATTTCATGATTATCTGCTTTAAATCCTGGGAAAAAAAAAATAGGGGGAGTATTGGGGGGGGAGGGGAAGAAGCTTCTGAACTGATTAAGGATGCAAATTTAGGTGGAACATTTTTGGATTTATAGTAGGTTTTCTGTCTGGTTTTTATGTTTTTGTTCACCATTAAGAATTCCCTTTTTATAAGCAGAAGTCTTCTAAAATACCTAAAAAGTGAACGGTCATGTTAGCCATTTCTATCATGAGTGACCATTGTTATCTATTTGCTTCATAAGGGAAGTTTGGCAGTATTAATCTTTTTAAAACAAAGGAAAAGCAGACCAGACTCAGACAAATTCTCAAGTGCCAAAAATGGCTAAAAGCAATGTAAAAGCAACATTATTGACAATGAAAAAGGACTAATGAGGGGGTTTGTGATTGAGATGTAAATAACCTTTTTTTTTCTCTTTCTGTTGTTCAGTATTTTGTGAACAGAATTAATTAGGAATATTTAGAGAATCCTGGGTGAGACGCTGTTTATTGATCATGGTTAGTTCTTCTGCTTGCTGTGCTTGCAGTGCTTTGAGATTCATGCTTTAGTTTGCAGGAACAGGGATGATTGACCTGTGTAATGATTAATAAAGTATTATTATTAATTCAGAAAACATTTAATTACACTTAAGGAATTGGTAATAGGATATTGACAGCAATGGGTATATTTTCAGTGGTTTCAATAGGTACTGATTAAGTCCCACAGAACATTGCATACATAAGGAGATAGAGATAAAACTAAATCGGAAGCTGTCAATAACAGCTGGGCAAGTCCTATACAATATTTCTATGCTGTTATTTTAGATCTACTTTGAGATCACATTAACTAGGTTGAGCTACATGAACTCTTCATGTCATATTTTGTAGTGCATATCAAAACCATTTATGTTTTTCTTTTGTATTTAGAATGGTGTGGTTGTAGGAATTGGTTCCTCTCTAGGAGTTTAGAGTCACAGAATCATAGTATGATATTTCTTCCCTTTTCTCTTACTATGAGCCACAAAAGGAGGAATCTTGGTTCAGAAAGACCTTCTTTCAGGGACAGGGAAGACAGGAATCCAACTGGTGGACATCCTGTTCCTCAAGAGCTACATCTACTTCAATTTCACACACAGAGCAGCAAAGGGAAAGCTGAGAGGCCTCTTCATATATGGCAATGCAACAAAGCTTCTGGGAGGTCAAGCTACAGTGTCTGCAACACAGGTTATCAAACTCATTTTGGGTTTTAGGACAACTTCCAGACTGACAGATGTAACTTTAACTAGAAAATCAGACACTGTGGTGATCAAAACTAAAAATATAGACTAACTGGAAATGAGATCTTCAATTTTAGAAATGATGTGAATTGTCAGACTTTATCTTAATTTCACTCTAGCATGAGGAAAAAACTAAAAAAAAAAAAAAAAAGAAAATATTCCTGTGAAGTTAAAACTTAGGCTCTCTCTGATTTTCAGTATGACTTTGAACCTGCTTTGCATGCAGTAAACTGCAAGTTTACAAGCAGACTGGGACCATAATTTCAGATCCAGAATAAGAAAAAAAAAGGCAACCCAAAACCATACTTTTCTAAAAACGTGTGTTGAAAGACGTTTCAGCTTGGGGTTTTGTTTGTTTGTTTGTTTTGTTGTTGTTGCTATTTGTTTGGGTTTTATGTGTGAGCAATTGTCATTTTTTAGTAGCCAGGAAGGGAGAGTTCTTAAATACAGTGGCATCTTATGGTCATTATTATATGGGTTTTTCTATGGCAACTGACTTTAAAAAAAGGAACCTTGAAATCAGCAAAGAAACATTTTTATCCAGAATCAGTGAAATTGGACCTAATGTGCTAATTTCCCTTCCTTTGTGAGTCAGAAAAAACAGAATGTCCTCTCCACTGCTGGATACTGTTCTACAAACTCCTCCCAGACAAGCTAACATTAGTCTCATCCATCTACCCACTGTTAGCAAAATATAAGAAAATTCAATAAAATTAAAGATGTTACACAGCCCCGAAAAGCATTAGATACGGAAATACATAACAAATTCTTTAAAATATTAAATAAACATCTTTTTTTTTTCATCAGTTGTATATTATGCATTTAAATGGTTGAACCCATGAACCTTTATTCACATCTCCATTCCTCAGAACACTGTTAGCATTTTTCACCCCTTTCCAACAGGAGCGAATTAAAAGCCATACCTGTTCCTGAAAGCACTTACATATCTGCTTGATTTTAAGCTATGGTTCAGGCATATTTAGGTACTCAAAGGGGCAGAATGGTACCTAGTGGGATTTTGAAACATGAGAGTACCTGTCTCCCAGGAAGATATTAATGAGCCTCAATTTCCATTTTTAGCTGCATAAATATATCAGAAGACACTTTGCTTTGTGTAAAATATTTTGATGTGCTTATGAATTTTCAGATTCACAGTTCTGTGAGCGGTCGACTGTATCAGAATCTGTGTCGCTGATTGCAAAGTCTAGGTGAGACCAATAACTCCAAGGCATGTGAATAACCCAGACTCACATGAACAATTCTGTTGAAAGCAACAAAAATGAAACAAACACCCCAAGGCAAAAACCAAGAATAAAGTCCTCCTGCTGTCAGACGTGTTCTGGGAAAGCATACTCTCTTATCAATGTTTTTATAGCGCTAAAATTTGTCTATCAGTCTGAGACAAATTTTACTTCTGTTTTGCTATAACACCTTAATAAATGACTGCCCAGAGCACTTGTACCTCGCCAATCCTTGAACTTCTTCAAAACCATTGCTTTTTAAGCAACATTTTTCAGCTCTGAACATGAAAACATTTTCCCTCATTTCTCCTTAATAATCTTTCAACTTAAAAAACATCTTTATCACAAAAGTTGTTTCTACTAAAAAAATAACGTGTGTTTCATTTTAGTCTGCTGTTATCCTTGAAGTTTGATGATAGCAGTACTGCTCTTAGACTTAGTGCCAGCGGACTTTCATAAAATTAGTGGCTGGTAATCCCTCTTATGCTTTATTATTTACATGTGTCAAGTGCTGCACTCTGGAGCACACCAGGCTTCCCTTACAGTGAAAATCTCTAATAAAATATTCCATCAAGTTTTATTTTCTGGGAAAGTTATTGAACTTGGCTCCATTCATTACAAAGTTTGTAGAGGCCAGATTACATAAAAAGCACATGCTGAACAGACACCATGCAAAAAAAAAGTTTTCCTGAGATTAATATATAAAAAACCCAAACAAAACTGCAGTGAGAAACAATGTTTAAATAAGGCCATATTACTAAGTAATGAAAAGATTGGTGTTTATCTTTTGGAATTCTGAAATCAGCTTCCATTCCTTGTATTATTTCTCTTAATAATTTTCTGTCTCTGTGAAGAAGTATTTCCAAACAGAGTTATGTCTGTAATTGATCGGTCTTCTCAACAGCAATATGAAGTGCCTAACAGAACTCTTTTATTTCAGAGGTATTAGTCTAGCATGGAGGAATCTTTTCTTATAGTCCAACATGCATATGCTGGCAAACAAAATTTTGTAGTGAAAGCAGAAAAGCTGTGCAGATATCAGGTTACCATATATCAGATAGTGATTTTTACCTTGGAACAGTTTTGCATTTAAAAAGTTTCATTGAACCCTGGAAAATATATCC